TCCTTCTTTTGATTGTACAATTTTTCAATTTTTTCGAAGTTTACTGAAAATCAAAAAATTGCAAAATCGAGCAACTGAAAAATCAAAGATTGAAAATTTGAAAAATTGAATATATTATAATCGACAAATTAAAACTGAGAAAGACATTGAAAGAATAAAGGAAATGAATGAAATGAAAGTTTTCAATTTTTAAAATTTTTCACTTTTTCAATTTTACGATTTTAGAATTTTTCCATTTTTTAGTTATTGGATTTTAAAACTTCATTTTTTCGATTTTCAATTTTTCGATTTTCACAATTTTCGCATTTTCCATTCCTTCAATTCAGTTCGTTTTTCCAACTTTCAAATTTTTCCAATTTTCCATTTTTTCCGATTATTTCAACTTTTCGATTTGCGATTTTTTAATTTTTCACTCTTTTAGTTTCTTCAATTTCTGGATGTTGCAATTTTGCAATTTAAAATTTCTTGAGTTTTAAATTTTCATTTTTCAGTTTTTCGATTCATTAATTTTTGATTTCTTCAAATTTTCGATATGAGATTTTTGGAATCGGGTTTTTACATTCTTTCATTTTAAAATTTTTCGAGTTTTCAAATTTTAATTTTCCAATTTTTCGATTGTTCAATTGTTGATGACTTGAATTTTGTGATTTGCCATTTTTTGATTTGAAATTTTTCAAATTTTTTGATTTTTAAATTTTTCGATTTGCATCTTTCCGGTTTCTAATTTTTCGATTTTTTAGTTAGTCAATTTTTAAATTTTTAGTTCCTTGAATTTTTTGTAGTTTTCATTTTATATTTTTTTATACAATTACAATTTAAAATTTTTTCACTTTTTCAATTTTACCATTTTACAATTTTTCCATTTTTTAATTTTTCGATTTTCACAGTTTTCGTGTTTTCCATTTTTTCGATTCGATTCGTTTTTCCTTCTTTTGAATTTACAATTTTTCAATTTTTTCGAATAGTTTACTGAAAATCAAAAAATTGCAAAATCGAGGAACTGAAAAATCAAAGATTGAAAATTTGAAAAATTGAATATACAGTAATGTTCGGTTATAACGAACCTCATGGGACTGGTAAAAGTACTTCGTTATATCCGAAGTTCGTTATAAATGATCTCAAAAAAATCAATATATACTTTCATAAACTTAACTATGTATTTCGGTATACAACATTTAAAAGTATTCCAAAAATATAAACATGTAACGATAATAATACAGTAGTACATATAAGAAAAAAAAACTTGATTAATAAAAAGTTGATTAAAAATAAAAGTTGTTACTGAGAATAATCTCAAATTTTACTTTGCTTCTTGTGAGAAAAATTAATTTCATTCATATACAATTCTATTTCGCCTAATTTATTTAAAATACCGTGTGGAGTGTTTCGCGCCTGAAGAAAATGACGAACGGCCCTAATGTATTAAACCGCTTGGGAGGGTTTTGGGATCGTTTCCTCTTTTTCTTCTTCTCCGTTATCTTCTTCGTCTTCAGTCTCATCTTCTGTTTGAATGTTCCATTGAACTGATTTAACAATATCATCCAAAATTTCAGACTTCACTAAAATGTCGTCAAAATGGACGTATTTTTCGAAGCGATATCAAATTCATCGTCAGAATTGCTTTCATGTTTTCTCAGCCATTCAACCAATACTAGTTCGTCTTCTGGTTCAAATTTTTCATCACACTGTAGAAACCCAGCATGTCGAAAACAGTTAGCAATTGTTTGTTCTGATACTTTTTGCCATACCATACTGATAAAATTGACAGCATCTAATAGATCCACACACAAGTGTTCCTAATCGTTGTCGATAGAATCAATCATTTTCGAAAGAAGAAGTCGTCGATAATTGTTCTTTAGTCTATGTATTATACCTTAATCCATAGGCTGTAATTTTGTAGTGCAGATAAAGCTGACTGGTGAAAAAGTTCGTTGTAAACGATTTTTTTTTCTTCAATATTAAAAATTTGGTTCGTTTTATCCGAAAGTTCGCTATAAGCGGATTTGTTATAACCGGAAAAAAATAACACGTATCTTATGGGACTTCAGTTCGTACTTTGCAAGTTGGTTCGTTATATCAGGAAGTTCACTTTAACCAGGTTCGCTATACGCGATCATTACTGTATTATAATCGACAAATTATAAAACTGAGAGAGACATTGAAAGACGAAATTTTTCAATTTTTAAAATTTTTCACTTTTTCAATTTTACGATTTTAGAATTTCTCCATTTTTTGGTTATTGGATTTTAAAACTTCTTCATTTTTTCAATTTTCACAATTCTTCGATTTTCACAATTTTCGTATTTTCCATTTTTTCAATTCGATTCGTTTTTCCTTCTTTCCAATTTTTCGATTCATCAATTTTTTTCGATTTTTAAGTTTCTCGAATTTTAGTGTTCAGCTGTTCGTTTCTTCAATTCTTTCATTTGCAATTTTTCCATTTTCCAGTTTTTCGATTTTTCAATTTTTTCCGAGGTTTTAGCTTTTCGATTTTCCAAATTTCTCGTTTTTAAACTTTTAAACATTGAAAAATGGAAAAAATAAAAAATGAGAAGACGAAAAATTGTGATATCAAAAAATTGTAAAATAATTTTTATAATTTTTGTTTTTTTTTATATTACGATTTTTCAATTTTTCGATTTTTTTTTTGATTTTTAATTTTTCAATTTGTTTATATTTCATTTTTCAGTTTTTCAATCTCACTGATCAATTTTTCGACTTTCCATTTCTGACGTTTCTATATTTTTGATTTTACAGTTTTGGGGTTTTCCAAATTTTCGATTCAAATCTATTTTTCTTTTTTCTAATTTTTCGATTGATTTTTTTGATTTTTAGTTTTCAATGTTTCCATTTTTTCGTTTCTTCGGTTCTTGGATTTGCAATTTTTCGATTGTCTACTTTTTCGATTTTTCTTTCAATTTTAATAATTTTTCACTTCTCCGATTTTTTAATTTTTAGATTTTTCAAATTTCTCGATTTTTAAACTTTACGAATGGAAAAAATCGAAAAATTGCAAAATTATAAAATCTAAAGGAAGATTGAAAAAATAAATAAGATGAAAAAATCGAAAAATTAAAAATTGAGAAATCGAAAAATCAACAAATGAGAAACTGAAAAAGTGCAAATCGAAAAATTAAAAAATCGAGATATTGAAAAATTTGGAGGTCGAAAAACTGAAAAATCGAAACATCAGAAAATCGAAAAATAAAAAAATTTAAAAATCTAAAAGTCGAGAAATTAAAGAATCGAAATATCAAAAATCTCAAAAGTCAAAAATCGAAAATTTTTAAAATTCGACAAACTGGAATAGTTGAAACAACGAGAATCGAAAAACTGGAAAATTAAGAAATTGAAAAGAAAGTTTCTAAATTGAAACGACGAAAAATTGGAAACCCGAAAAATTGAAAAATCGTTTAATCAACCTTTAATTTATATTTTTTCTAGTTTTCATTTTAAATATGGAATTATAATTAAATTTTAAAAAATTTTCACTTTTACGATTTTAGAATTTTTCCATTTTTTAGTTATTGAATTTTTAAACTTTTTCATTTATTCGACATACAAAAAAATTGTTCGATTCGATTCTTTTTTCCTTTTTTCCAATTTTTCGATTCATCAATTTTTTGGATTTTGAAGTGTCTCGATTTTAAGTGTTTCAGTGTTTCAATTCGTTTCTTCAATTATTTCATTTGCAATTTTTCCATTATCCACTTTTTCGATTCTTCAATTTTTTCCGATTTTTTTAGTTTTTGGATTTTTCAAATTTCTCGATTTTTAAACTTTTCGAATCAATATCATGGAAAACATTGAACAATTGTAAAATCAGGAACTTGAAAAATTTATGAAAGGAAAAATTGAAAAATCGAAGTATTGAAAATTAAAGAAATTGGAAAATCGGATAGCTTAGTGAAAATCCAAAAATTGCAAAATTAGAAAATTGAGGAATTGAAAAATCAATGATTGATTGATTGATTGATTAATAGTTAGTCCATTTTTCAATAACTGGATTTTAAAACTTTTTTAATTTTTTCAATTTTTCGTTTCTTCAATTCTTGGATTTGTAGTTTGCAATATAAAATCGAGAAATAAAATTAAAAAATCGGGAAAAAGAAAAATAAAAATCAAAACTAGAAAAATTAAAAATCGCAAAACGAAAAATTGAAGAAAGGAAAAATTGAAAGATTTGGACGTCGAGAAATTGAAAACTTGAAACGAAAAATTATGAAACCGAAACACAGATAAATGGAAAATTTGAAAAGTAAAAAATGACAAAACGAAAAATTGTGACATCAAAAAATTGTAAAGTCAAAAAAAAGGAAAAACGAAAAATTTTGATCTCAAGAAATTGGTCGAAGCTAAATCCAGATTTTTCAAAAAATTATAAGATTTGATTTTGCCAATAATTTTATTTTTGAAACCATATTTGCATTAGCTTTTTAAATAACCTGGTAAAAGATAAATAATTTCCAAAATTGTCCAAAAAAAAAACAAAAAAGTGCTAACTTCTTAAAAATTTGCAACTAGCATAGATTCCAAAAATTTTCCGCATAAAAACAATAAAGGAACATTTTTCCTGAATTACAAGACCAAATTAACTACTGATATTGACCTTATGACCTTAATTAGAATAAATATAATTTATCTCTCTAAATAATTCAAGCTCAAAAAAACAAACGTCTTCAATAACCCGACTACAATAAAATCGGCAATCAATGAAACGAGAAAACTAGTAGCCACCAAACAAAATCATTATCTCCGCTATGAACACGAAGGAACGTACCACAGGTAACTCAGTCTCTAAATTTTGTCCACAATAACTTCCATTTTTTCCAGAGGACGACCCTCTCTTATTTTACTTAATCACAAGCACCTACTTTTTCCAAACCCCAGTGGCCCGACGATGCCTACTTTGCATCATCGTATACTACGCCCTAATTTTTCTAGCTCAAACCGCCATCTTCTTATACAAGTTTGAAAGTCTCTATTTCGCCCAGTACAGCAGCAGCTATGTCTTCTCATTGATAGTACAATGAACTACCAACTGTAGTTAAATTGGCGTTAAAGTTACTATTTTAGATGATAATGTACCTGGTGGCCCTCCCTTTGGGATTACACGACCTCCAAGGTTTCATGAAAGAAGTGCAGTGGTGGAAATTTGACAGCGCGGGTAAAGAAGTGGAAAAAAGAATAAAAAAAGAATCGAATATCATTGCTATCGTAATGATAATTGATACGTTCTTGGTGACGATTACCACAATAGCCTTCACTGTTCCCCAAAACGTGGACAGACACCTTTTGTATGAAGTTGCTTTAATCGAAGACCTTTTTCCAACGTGGTCAAACGTGTTGAAAATAGTCCATCGAATCCAGGCCTTCTTCGTACGACCTTTCTGTGTCCTGACTTCATTTTCTCTGTTCTTGTACATCTTCTGCAACACGAGGTTCCAAATGTACATGATTTTGAACTACATCAAGACCATTAACGAAGGATGCGAAAACGATCAAGTGAGAATCAAAGATCGGTTGGTGTTTTGCTTCAAGAGCTACATTCAACTGAGCGAAGCTGTTCGAAGAATGTTGAAAGTGATAGAATCGTCGTCTTTAGCGTATCAAGCTATGACTCTTGTTGTCATTGTTAGTACAGCCACCTACGTTCTTCTGGTAACTAACGCTTTCTGAGTACTTCTATATTAGTCGTTTTTTTAGTTTCAGGACTACGCACGGGAGCAGAATTTTCGTTTCGTGTGTCTCTCGAGTTGTGGTGTTTTCATGTTGGTAACGTTGTTTCAACTTGGACAAAGCACCGAAGACAGCGTATTGATCTTGGTGGTTTTTTGCGCACTCTGAGCGTGTTTTTTCAGGTTACTGAGGTCTATGAAACTTTGATGACGATCGACTGGTACGACTGGAACGAAAGCACCAAGAAGATATATTTGATGTTCCTCTTGAGTACGGTCAAACCCTTGCGAATACAATTTTCCGAAAATTATTCTCTTAACTACAACATGGCCGTTCAGGTTGGCAGCAATGAGGGAAATTCGTGGTTCTAAAAAGGTTTTTTGTAGGTGGTCCAGAATGCCGCTTCTGTTGTTTTAGTCGTGTATCAGCTCAATTTCATGTAGATTTTTTTTAAAAACACCACAACTAATTTTTAAATACACGGAGAATTAGTGGCATTAAGGTCGTTTTAAAAATTTCAACTATTAACTGTCACAACTTGGTATTAAAACGCGAGCGCAGGGAGCATGGTCAGGTCAAGTCAGGTCAGGCTCCAAGACTTTAGCGATAATAAACCTTTTTGAAAAATCGCCCGTTTTAGACAATAAAAAAATACTCTTATTAATAATTTAGCTTCTTAGGGCCACCACTGAATTTTTTTTTAATAAAACCGAAACGTGCTCACTGCGCTCGCATTTTACCCGTTCGTGTTTTAAGTTTAGTGTCATACAAGTGTTTAAGAAAGTATATTCGAAGTTGACCAGATTCTATTATAATAAAAAATATTTAAACCTAAACAATAAAACGTTTACGAATCAACGGTCAGCAAGGCTACTTGGTTTTAATCATATTAATTGTCAAGATCTCCCTGTCAAGGTAAATTACCTCGAGAGTATGAACCCTTAAAATGCGAGCGTAGCGAGCACGTTCAGGATGTTTCAGTGATCACAAACAATCTTTAAACTCACGATTTTAATTAACGATAAAAATTTTCTTAAAAATTTAGCTTGTCAGGGACACGGGAAATTAAATTTTTAAGAAAATTTTTAGAGGGGAAAACAAGAAGCAACGAGAGGGAAAAACGGAAAGAGAAAAATAGAAAATGACACACAGTGGAAAAGAGGGAAAATCAAGTAGAGAGGGATAGAATGACATAGAGTGAAATGAAAGATGGGAAGATGGATAGAGGGAAAGAGAAAAAGACAAAAGGGGGCGATAACGAGCAAAAAGAGGGAAAGACGGAAACAGAAAAAAGGAAATAAAAGAATCAGAAAGACTGCCAAATGAAAAGCGAAAGGGAGGCAAAGACAGGGACAAAGAGACAGACAGAGAAAAGGGGAAACAGGGAAATAATGAAGAAACTGACAAAAGAAAAACTGGGAAACAAAAAAACGTAGAAACAAAAAACGGTTAAAATGAAAAACAGGACATAGGCAAGAAGGAAAAGTGGAGGAAAAAGCAAAGAGAGACAGAGGGAATAGGAAGTAAGGGAAAGTGTGAAAAAAGTTAGAATGGAAGAAAGTGAAAAACGAAAAAAAGGGGGAAAGAGGCTAAGGAGAAAAGAGGAAAACATCGAAAAAGCCAGTGGAAACAAGGGAAAGTGGAAAACAGAGAGAGAGAGAGGAAGACAAGAAGCAATGCGAGGGAAAGACGGAAAGTCAAGTAGAGAGGGATAGAATTAGAGAGACTGAAAAGAAAAACGAAAAGAAAGAAAGAGAGGAAGGAAGAAAAAGGATAAGACAGAAAGCAGAAAGGGGGGAAAATGGAAGGTATGAAAGAGGGAGTGAGGAAGAGTGACAGAGAGAAAAGAGAGACTGGGGGAGAGGAAAAAGGGGAGATAACGAGCAAAAAGAGGAAAGATGAGAAAAGGATAAGAGGGAAAGAAGAAATGAGAGAAAGAGGAAACGAAAACATGTAGAAATAGAAACAGGAAAAAACGAAAAATAAGACATAGGAAAGGAGAAAATGAGAAGGACAAAGCAAAGAGAGGTAGAGGGGAAAGTATGAAAAAAGTGGGAATGGAGAAAAGTGACAAACTGGAAAACAGAGAAACAAAACAAAGAAGAAAAAGTGAAATACAGGAACTGAAAAACCGAAAAATGAAGACATAGAGGGCAACGAAGAAATAAGGGAGAAGGAAAAAAATAAAGAGGGAAAAAGGATAAGAAAGAAAAAGGAAGGAGAGATAGTAAGAGGTAGAGGGAAAGTTGGAAAGGTCGTAAGTGAGAAGTGAGAAGCGGGAATGACGGAAAACGTATAAGTGGAAAAAGGAGGACATACACAAACAGACACTGTGAGGGGTAAGAGAGAAAAGAAGTAATGAAGAAACAGATAAATAAAAGAATGGAGATGTAGGGAGGAACGAAAGAATGAAAGAAATAAGGAAAAAAAGGAGAAAGACTAAAACGGGACAAAATGGAAATAAGAAATGACGGAATTTGGCAAAGAGAGAGAGAGAGGAGATATTTAGAGAAGGATGGAGAGAAAGACAAAACAGGTAAAAAATAAAGAGCGGAAGAAGGAAGGGAAAGTGAGAAAGTGCGAAAAATAGAAACGAAATAAAAAAGTATCGGAGAAACACACACAGAAACTGGAAAAGAGGAGAAGAGTAAATAAAAGAGGATGAAAAGAGGGAAAAACCACAAAGTGGGAAAAGGGGAAAAGAGTAAGAGGAGACGAGAAAATGGCATAAAAAGGTCATTGGAAATGACGGAAAGTGGCAAAGAGAGAGAGAGAAGGGTAAACAAGAAGCAATGAGAGGGAAAGACGAAAAGAGCAAAATAGAAAATGACACAGAGTGGAAAGGAGAGAAAATCAAGTAGAGAGGGATAGAATGATATGGAGTGAAGTGAAAGACTGGAAGAAGGAGAGAGGGAAAGCGGGAAAGAAGAAAAGACAGAAACAAGAAGGAGGGGGAAAGGGAAAGTATGAAGAAGGAATGAGGGAGAGTGGCGGCAGAAAGAGACTGGAGGAAAGGATAAAGTGGGAGATAACGAGCAAAAGAGGGAAAGACGGAAATATACAAAAATAGAAATGAGAGAATGAGAGAGAGTGCCAAAGAGAAAGCGAAGGAGAAGAAAACTGAGAGACGAAGAGACAGACACAGAAAAAGAGAAACAGAGAAACCAAATAATGAAGAAACGGAAACACGAAAAACTGGGAAACGAAAAAACGTAGAAACAGAAAACGGTAAAAATGAAAAACAGCAAAGACAGACAGAGGGAATAAAAAGTAAAAGAATGTGTGAAAAAAGTTAGAATGGAAGAAAGTGAGAAACGAAAAAAGGGGGAAAGAGGATAAGGAGAAAAGAGGAAAACACATAGAAAAAGCTAGTGGAAACAAGGGTAAGTGGAAAACACACACAGAGAGAGAGAGAGAGGAAGACAAGAAGCAATGAGAGGGAAAGACGGAAAGTCAAGTAGAGAGGGATAGAATTAGAGAGAGTGAAAAGAAAAACGAAAAGAAAGAACGAGAGTAAGGAAGAAAAAGGATAAGACAGAAAGCAGAAAGAGGGGAAAATGGAAAGTATGAAAGAGGAAGTGAGGAAGAGTGACAGAGAGAAAAGAGAGACTGGGGGAGAGGAAAAAGAGGAGATAACGAGCAAAAAGAGGAAAAGATGGAAAAAGGAAAAGAGGGAAAGAAGAAATAAGAGAAAGAGGAAACGAAAACATGTAGAAATAGAAACAGAAAAAAACGAAAAATAAGACATAGGAAAGGAGAAAATGAGAAGGACAAAGCAAAGAGAGGTAGAGGGGAAAGTATGAAGAAAGTGGGAATGGAGAAAAGTGACAAAATGGAAAACAGAGAAACAAAACAAAGAAGAAAAAGTGAAATACAGGAACTGAGAAACCGAAAAATGAAGACATAGAGGGCAACGAAGAAATAAGGGAGAAGGAAAAAGATAAAGAGGGAAAAAGAGTCAGTGAAAATGCGGGAGAGTGGCAAAGACAGAGAAAGGAGAGATAGTAAGAGGTAGAGAGAAAGTTGGAAAGCTCGTAAGTGGCAAGCGGGAATGACGGAAAACGTATCAGTGGAAAAAGGAGGATTGCAAGAATGAAAGAAATAAAAAGGAGAAAGACTTAAACGGGACAAAATGGAAATAAGAAATGACGGAACTTGGCAAAGAGAGGGAGAGGAGATATTTAGAGAAGGAGGGAGAGAAAGACAAAACAGGTAAAAAATAAAAAGCGGAAGAAGGAAGGGAAAGTGAGAAAATGCGAAAAATAGAAACGAAATAAAAAACTGGGAAAGTGGAGAAGAGTAAATAAAAGAGGATGAAAAGAGGGAAAAACCACAAAGTGGGAAAGGGGGAAAAGAGTAAGAGGAGACGAGGAAATGGCATAAAAAGGTCATTGGAAATGAGGGAAAGTGGCAAAGAGAGAGAAGGGTAAACAAGAAGCAATGAGAGGGAAAGACGGAAAGAGCAAAATAGAAAATGACACAGAGTGGAAAGGAGAGAAAATCAAGTAGAGAGGGATAGAATGATATGGAGTGAAGTGAAAGACTGGAAGAAGGAGAGAGGGAAAGAGGGAAAGAGGAAAAGACAGAAACAAGAAGGGGGGGGGGGAAGGGAAAGTATGAAGAAGGAATGAGGGAGAGTGGCGGCAGAAAGAGACTGGGGGAAAGGATAAAGTGGGAGATAACGAGCAAAAAAAGGGAAAGACGGAAATTGAAAAAAAAAAGAAATGAGAGAATGAGAGAGAGTGCCAACGGGAAAGCGAAGGAGAAGAAAACTGAGAGACGAAGAGACAGACACAGAAAAAGGAAAACAGAGAAACCAAATAATGAAGAAACGGAAAAACGAAAAACTGGGAAACGAAAAAACGTAGAAACAGAAAACGGTAAAAATGAAAAACAGGACATAGGGAAGGGGGGAAAGAGGAGGAAAAAGCAAAGAGAGACAGAGGGAGTAGGAAGTAAGGGAAAGTGTGAAAAAAGTTGGAATGGAAGAAAGTGAGAAACGAAAAAAAGGGGGAAAGAGGGTAAGAAGAAAAGAGAAAAACACATAGAACAAACCAGTGGAAACAAGGGAGAGTGGCAAACAGAGAAAGAGAGGAAGACAAGAAGCAATGAGAGGGAAAGACAGAAAGTCAATTAGAGAGCGACAGAATTAGAGAGAGTGAAAAGAAGAAAAAGAGAAAAGGAAAAAAAGGAAAAGTTAGAAAGCAGAAAGAGGGGAAAAGAGAAAGTATGAAAGAGGGAATGAGGGAGAGTAGCAGAGAGAAAACAGAGACTAAGGGAGAGGAAAAAAGGGGGTATAATGAGCAAAATGAAGGAAAGACAGGAAGAGGGAAAGAGGGAAGAAGAAATGAGAGAAAGAGAGAGAATGCCAAAGGGAAAGAGGAAACGAAAAAATGAAAAACTAGAAAACGAAAAAATGTAGAAATAAAAACATGTAAAAACGAACAATAAGACATAGGAAAGGAGGAAATGAGAAGGAATGAGCA